CATCGCGTCTTGCGTACGTAGTACTCAAGTAAACGTATTTTGCATTACCATGTCAATGTATTCACACACTGGCCGTTTTCATAACTGAATATAAAACCTTTTTTTTTACCTGTTCTGACACATGTAAGATGTTACGTTTCTGTGCAAAAAAATTGTTTTGACACTGGCTGAAAAATATGGTGCAAAAAAAAGTGTATTTTTTTTTTGTAAATAATTCTGGCTGGAAATTCAAGTATGATTCAAAGACCAGTTTATGTCAATTATAGCGCATTTTTTTGTTTATAAATTAAGTGGGATTTATGTGAAATGTCTTTGTCTCTTAGTCTAACTGTCGGTTTCTGAGACCAACATCTCTGTATAAACATATCGTCATTCTTGTTATCTTTGACACAGGAGTGATAACAATACGTTTCAAACAGGGAATTTGACCTCAGAAACCCACTGCAAGAGACTTATAACCATATGGATACTGCTGGATGTAGATTTTCTTCTTAAAAACGATTACTAAATAACCTCATCGCTTGTCATTTTATGCAATTTTATTATAAGCAAACAGAGAAACACGTAACGAATGCAGCGAAAAAACTAAAGCCCTCAAATTGACTGGTACAAAGACGGTGGCTATGAGTCAACACGTCTCCCGACAGGCAACCACCCATCCTGTTCTCATTGTTGCTCGGACAACGGTCTTAACGAGTTTTATGAATCATCATTCTCTAAAATAACCAGTCAGTTTCCACTAACAAATCAAATTATTTTAAATACTAAAGCAAAGATTGCTTCTTGCTAAAACTTAATCGCACTATCGGAGTTCCTTTGTGAAGGTTAATTTGTGCAACTGTTTAAGTAAGTATTTAAAGACTCTGAGTGCAGTTACATCTTAGTTAAAGCACCTAAAAGATAGTGCTTAAGACATGTCTTTGTTTAAATTATTTGCCTGTTTTTCTGATTGAAGATAAAAAAAGGTCAAAATCACCCTTAACTTGGGGTGGGCTCCGAGCCCTTCGGTAGGGACGTATGGTGAGCTGATGATGATGAGTAAAAATGTTGTTTTCTTATTTAACGCGTGTGTATAAAGAGTTATCATGATTTCATCAAGAATTCCTCATCAAATAATACGTGGGCAGCAATCAGAAATAATTGCTCAAAAATCCACCGACCGACTGGCGCTAGTGTCGATCTAGATTACAAAAGCCTCACGACCTTACATACCAATATACTTTGAATCTTATTGGGTAAACAATAAATTCGATTTTGTATTTTTTATGATTAAACTTGACTCTGTCGGGATGTAATCCGGTGAGCCCGGTGACGGCTCTGGTCATGCGTGAAGGAAAAGTACAGTGCGCAGCATAAGACTTTGTTTAATTTAAAAACATACACACAACTTAAAAAGTCATTCTCTATTGTACTAGCATGGTACTTAAGGATTTTGGAATTTATTAGAAATAGATATGATGCAATAGATAGAATTGAGCGTCGGTGGCTCAGTGGTCAAGCACTTGACTTGCAATCTGCAGGTCCTGGGTTCGAATCCCGCCATGTACCAATGTGTTTTTCAATTTCCAATTTACATATGTACATTTATCCGACGTTCTTACGGTTAAGGAAAACATCGTGATGCAACCTGCATATATCTGAGAAGTAATTCAAAGAGATGTTTGTAGTCAACCAACCCGCACTTGGCCAGCGTGGTTGAATATGGCCTAGTCGTTCTTAACTTAGTGTAGGCTCCGAGCCCCCGAGCGGTGGGGACGTATAGTGAGCTGATGATATTGATGCAATGCCGCTTTGATTTAAAAAACTAAATAACATTTTTGAATTGAATAATAGACAAATGCAGCATTGCTGACTGTACCTGGAGGAAGGGGCGGACTCGCGGGACCAGTTTGCGCTGCGCCTGCGCACGTCGACCCAGCCACTGCTCGATTAACCCTCGTCTCACTGCCTTACATTTAGTAAACTCGTAGCGTGCTTTTAATGAAACAAAACCTCATTCATTCCTTTCTATTTCTAGTTAATAATTATTATAATTAGAAAAATAATATTTCGTTCGTACAAAGGTCATTAACCTATACATGTAGCTTGATAATTACTAAATCCAAGTTCTGTAGCTATAGGCAAAGACCAGATTTATTTAGAAACTAGCTGTTGCCTCCTACTTCTTCCGTGCTAAATCTACTAATAAATATAGCCCATGACGCCAGGGGATAGTGGGTTCTTATAAGTGAAATAATTCTCAAATCGGTCCAGTTTTGGAGTCTATTCAATGCAAACAATCACATCTTTCCTATTTATAATATTAGTATAGATAAATATAATATCTACGATCTTACGATATAAGTCTTTATGTCGTCTTAAAATCTTGATGTACATAAGGATTTGGGGTAACAGAATAAAATATTATTCAACTAAAAAAGTATATTTTCCTTATTTTAGTTACTTTATGATATTACGCATTCGAACGTTGAACTAAATGTTCTCCCACCGAAATTTAACGCCATCTGTTATCCAGAAATAAAACTCATTAATCCGTCACAAAAATTAATACTTTCACATCAAGAGCATGTGCATTTCCTTGTTATTTAACATAACTTACTCCATGTGAATCGTCATGCGTTAACGTTTGGAGTCCTAACAAAACGCGAGGCAAAAGAAACTGTAACGTATAGACCAAGAACTTGAAAAAGGGTTAACGCATTCCCATAGCTACGTACGTCATACGAACGCTATAATTTAAAAAGGGTTAAGACAAAAAAGAAGTTAATTCGAAATGACACCGCACATGTGAAGTCATCCGGCCGACGATACGAGATTTAAGCCCACGGTACACGTCATTAAAACCTCGACGTCAAGAAGAAATCATTTGGACGTGTTTCCTCTCGCATTATTTATACGGAGGCACGATTATAAACAGATGTTATTCGAACATAAATCTTTGTCTCATGGCTCATGTAAAGTCGCATTTACTCGTGTTTCCCGCGCAATGTACTTTCGCGCCAACTTCTCGTATTCGCAATTAAAATATAGAAACCATTTCCACTTATATTACACGAAATAACGTCCAATAAATTAATTTTATTCACAATATAAAATAAACTTTAATCAAGTCAAAGAAAAAAATAAAATTAATTGTAATTTTTAAGACACAATATTTGTCAATGTCATATTTTTATAAGCTTTTTTTACCTGTCAATACAACCCACGTCAATTATAACTGCATATTAGCGATAAATTGACATTAAAATACCGGTATTTATAGGTATTCGGGCAGAATGCATAGACTAGACCAATCTTAAACCTCACCCACACCGCCCACTTGAAAAAAACGTGTTTAAATCTAGAAATAAATGTCTAGCTTCAATAACAATGACTAATAAAATAAGATGATTTATAACAAAAGCTATTTAATGACAACAATCAGTTACGATTTATTTATAACTTTTTATGACTATAAAATTTACAAAGTAACATGATTACAATTTTCATTCAATTCTAAATTTCTTAATGGCGATATTCGGAGAATTTTATAAATTAAATATGGCTACCCAAAGATAGATAGTGTAGTCACGTTCGAGAATCAAGATATCGACAAGTCGATTGTGGCCGAGATAAGTTGGTAGCACGATTTTATCGAGGTTTAGTACATATCTGGGAAGTTATTAACGATGATGCCCGCCCAATAAGATAAATGGAGCTAGGTTTTTTAACGAAACCATAAAGCCGTTTCAATGAACAATGATGTATTTAAAAAAACGTTAAAACAGTTCCAAATTCAAATTTTAAATAACGAATAGCCTTTAAATTTTCTTAGATTCTAATAAAAAAGTAAATAGATTTGAAATGCTAAATTAAATACACGTATAGTGCTTTTATATTGTAGTAGGGGTCCAGATTTCCACGAGGTCGGGAGTTCGAATACCGCCATTCGACTATTGTCGTGAACCATATCCTAGCACAAGCATAGAGCTTAGTTGGAATGGTAAAAGAAATATTAGTAAATTTACAAAAAAAAATCTGCTAATATTAAAACAAAAGTTAATACCATTTGACTTAAGTTATTTCTTCTTTGTTACCAAAGGTTTATTTACACGATAATACTCTTGTTATTTTTTAATATTAATTAACCTATAAGTCGTAAGTCTGCTGTAAAGAAAAATGAACACACCTTACAGCCAGGCTCGTTATCCGCTCACGATTGCTGTCAGAAGCATTGACAGGAGTTGAGTTAACAAGGGCGCACCTCCATTACTCATCTGTATTTGAGCGACATGCGTTTTAAATCTGTGACCGGCCTTTTCCCGCCAAAATTATAAAACGTTTAAAAAGTTTTTGAGTGTTACCATGGTTTTTAAACTGAATAAATGTAAACGTGAAGGTAAATTTCGATTGTATAAATAATAATCGATCGATGTATAAATACAAATATACATACTAAGAAAATAACAACGTTTAAAAATCATGTTAGACGGCATTTAAAAAAATTAAGTGTCATTCACCACTCGTTGAGTTGGCCTAAAATTCTCGTGTTTAATGGTGGCTGAAAACGATTTTACATCTTAATTTTGTTTTTGTCAATTTCGCCTTGACAACTTTAATGACGATATTGCATCCGCCATTTGCATTTTCGCTTTGGGCGGGAGAAGAAAATTGATGTTTCCGCGTTTTTATCCGCTATCATTCATCTACATCGTCGGGAAAGTGAATCATTAGAAACTGCGCTCATTTTGCGAGTTCCTTCTACAGAGCGTTTAATCTCGAGACCTTGTGATTGTTTACGTGATTCTATCTCGCATGTTCCACCACCGCGCCGAGGAACGCGTCCCGCAAACCACAGACCGTATGCCACTGAGCTGCCGATGCGTATCCAAACATAATTTTGTAATATATACAGTTTGTGCATATAGTTCGAAAATACTAAACCTGACTTACATGTCTATCGATTATGCTTAATATTTTCCTTGTATTCTAATTTAAAAATATTTTCCTCATCTTTCCAGATACGACAGCACCCTACGTGCTATATAAAGATGGCGTGGAGCGCGCGCCACCAGGCACGCAATGGGGCGGCGGCGTACTCGACGGCGGCTATCAGACCATGCAGCACCAGAGCCCCGGAGGGCCATCGCCGCAACCCGAGCCACAGCTCGCCTCGCCCGCACCGTCACCCTACCCGCCGGCGCCGCCTCCCCCTGACCCAACGGCCGCCGCCGAGGACGCCGCGCAACAGCTCGCACAACAGCAGGCGCAACAACAGGCCCAGCAACAGGCGCAGCAACAACAGACCTCGCCCGACCATATGCAGGTCGACCAGCAGCTCCAGAACCAGGCTCAGGCCCAGAACCAAGACCACCTAGACCGTGGGCCATGCTTCGTGCAGCCTGACCTGCAGCAGCAATACACGCCGTACTTTAAGGAAGCTAGACCGACCAGCCACATGCTGGGCACCGGCGGTTTTCCGCTACACTATCTCAAGCAAAATGGAGGCGTATTGTCTTTAGAAGGCCCCCTTGACCAGTACGGTGCGCCTGAGCTACGCCATCTACCGGACATCGTCCAGCCAGAGCAACCGAAGCCGAGGAAACATAATCCCAACTCGGAACTTCGCCTGTTCAAATGCCTGACATGCGGCAAGGACTTCAAGCAGAAGTCGACGCTTCTGCAGCACGAGCGCATCCACACGGACTCGCGGCCGTACGGGTGTCCTGAGTGCGGCAAGCGGTTCCGCCAGCAGTCGCACCTCACGCAGCACCTTCGCATCCACGCGAACGAGAAGCCGTACGCGTGCGTGTACTGCCCGCGCTCCTTCCGGCAGCGCGCCATCCTCAACCAGCACCTGCGCATCCATTCCGGTGAGAAGCCATATACGTGCGGCGAGTGCGGCAAACATTTCCGCCAGAAGGCCATCCTGAACCAGCACGTCCGCACACACCAAGGCGAGCGATATTCACACATATATGCCCCGGTCCGCTCCCCGCGCGCCTCGCCCGCAACATGCAGCGCCGCGCGCCACCGCTGGGCTGCGAGCGAGGCGCGCGCTCCCGCCGCCCTCTCCTCGTTCGATTCGGTCTCGCATCCATTGGCCTTCCTATCAATCTATCTGTCAAATTCTCGGTCCCATGTCGCCCGCGCAGCGGAGCGCTCGCGAGACGCGGAACCGATCGCCGGACGCTCCCGTAACCGTCCCCAGTTCGATTAACCCACTCGTCGTTTACCCCCAACTGTTATTGGGATGTATAATTTACCGATTTGTACGTTTTTTGCAGACGTCTCTCCGCACCTTATATTCAAGAACGGAACGACACCGACTCTGTGGCCGCAGGACGTTCCCTATCCACCGGATGAGAATAAGGAAGAGATCCAGTCGACTTTCGGCGACGCGGACGGCCAGAATGGGGAGCAACGCGGATCGTGCTTCTCGCCAGGCGACACGGCGCAATATCCGGCATATTTCAAAGATACCAAAGGCCTCAATCACGCTGTATTCGGCTCGGGTCTGTCGTTGCAATACCTGAAGGGGGGTAAGTTGCCTGATGTTTTAGGAGGTCGTGCGATGCCACTGTATGTTCGCTGCCCTATCTGCCAAAAGGAATTCAAGCAGAAGTCAACGTTGTTGCAACACGGGTGCATTCACATAGAGTCGCGACCGTATCCTTGCCCGGAATGCGGCAAGCGCTTCCGGCAGCAATCACATCTAACGCAACATCTGCGCATCCACACCAACGAGAAACCGTACGGCTGCGTCTACTGCCCGCGCTTTTTCCGGCAACGGACGATATTGAACCAGCACTTACGTATCCATACGGGAGAGAAGCCGTACAAGTGTACCCAGTGCGGCAAAGACTTTAGGCAGAAAGCGATCCTGGATCAGCACACCCGCACGCACCAGGGAGACCGACCATTCTGCTGCCCCATGCCCAATTGCCGGCGGCGTTTCGCAACAGAGCCGGAAGTTAAGAAGCACATCGACAACCACATGAACCCGCACGCCGCTAAGGCGAGGCGAGCGGACGCAAAGACCCCGCGGCCGCTGCCCCCCGCGGCGGCGGTGGTAAAGCCGGAGCTGTACTTCCCGCAGTGCTACGCGCCACCCTTCCAGCAGTTCCCGACGGGCGGGGAGTTCAAGCCGACGCTCGGGCCAGGCGCGCCGGGAGCCTGCCTGCCGGCACAGTGACCCGCGCCCCCGCCGCGCTGGCATCCCGCGGCCCCGCACGCGCCCTCGCACGCGACCGCGCACCACGACCTCTACGTGGACCGCCTCTACAACTAGAATGTAGGACCTTTTAGAGCCTCTAACGTCTCAAAAACGTCGATTACGGCTTTACAAAAGTATACGACTCGCCGACGCGAGCTTATAGATACTATCGAGATTTACTAAAATTAATATCGGATCGCTGTACAATGCTTCGATCTGTAAATAAATGATTGTAACGAGTCTGTCGCGACTCGACTGTACAGTGAGTCATGAAATAGTGTTACCGTCGTCGCAGCGTGTACTGGCGACGACCACGTTACTGCGCCCCATAATGTTAAGTTACCAAGTAAGAATTAGTTTCTGGGCGAGAATCGCCGGCGGATCCAGCGGCGGATCGAACCAGAGATTAGAATTTAAAGCTCTTCGTTGAAATCTAAAGACGTAAGAATTGCTCTTTTACCACTTAACAGTATTTCGCGATGAATGTTTCTGGTACATCTTTGTGCCTATTTGTAATAAATATACATACATTTTGTAGACATATTAAGTTAATTTTTATTTACGTGTTTTAAGAGATGTAATCTGGCAAACATGGGTTGCGATGAATGAATTTATTATGCTCAAAATATCGTAAAAGTAATGGTAAAATATAAAATGAATTTATGCGTAATTAGGTCGAAGATTACATCATGAAAGTGAGTAAAGATGATAACAGTCGAAGGATAAAGCAAACCAAAAACGTAGGTTACCTTCTGCCATCAAGACATTTTTGTTGTAGTACTTATGAAAGGTTCTGTTACATTTTAATTACTCTTAATGAATTATATGAGATTATTTGAGATATATTTGTAACAATTTAGGTGCCAAATATTGTAGTAACTTTTCATTTGTCTGTCTGCTCGTACCGAGTTTGCCTAGATGTTGTTACCATACTTCCGACGATACGACAATTTGGAATGCATTGACGTGGAAAGGGTCAGACTGAGAAAGGACTGTGATAGCTAGATAGGTTAGGCGTCGCTCATTTAGCGTTAAAATTCGTGTATCGTGGCGAAATGTGATTGGGGCATCCTTTTGGAGTCGTGTGAATGTATTGAAATTGTTTCATCGTAGTTTTATAAAATTTCTCTTTTATGATGAGGACAACTCGAAATTGCCAAACATAATTTAAAAATAAAAACGTTTTATGTTCCTAAATTAATCGAAATTTTGCATTTATTTGTAAGGCTGACTGATTCCGTCGCCTTTGCTCTTTTGACTGATTGGTAAAATAATTATGAGGAGTGAGATTAGTAAATTCTATAAGGATACGCGTGTGAAACGAGCGGGGCTGGCAGCTGACCGCTCGTGCTTGTCAGAGGTGCGTCAGAATAATAATTTTGCTTAATTTTAGCTTAGACTATCAATTCTCGAATTACCAAGCAATTCGATCATTCATCGCGAAATAAAATTAGCTTTAGGGAGAATAAAAATATATATGAATTTGTCGCATTGTTGGAGTATTCCGATATTGTACGAGGCGTCCTCGGTCCATTCGCGTCCACAATAGATACAGGTAGATTTAGATCTCGGATTAATTTCTATGTTTACAGATAACAACACTGCGTACTATTATTAAAAATGCATACAATAGTAGCCCTTACGTACCACGGTGTTAAGTCTACAACCGTATGCATTTTTTTTGATAGATAAGTGTTGCCAGCCTTACAATATATCAGGTTTAATTTTTACAGGGAGATATATTAAATATATCAGCTTTATTTCGTATGTTGAATCAGTTACGGCGAGTCGCTCGGACTATAAACTGCAATAAACAATATCGGGATGCTCCAGCTGACCTTTTTAACGTTTTATCATCTCTGTTTGTACGTATAGACAACTTATATAGCTTATTTATGATATTATTGTGATGGTTTCGTTTTCCTACCGCATAAGGACTGTTACGTATTAACTATTAGAGGTAATAGTGCAAGTTGTGGGAGTACGCGGAGTCACATCACAGTTGGATACCAGTATGTTTATTATTTATCACTTTTTAAAGTGAATAACGCAATATTATGTTTATTAAGTTCCATTTGTTATTTTTCATGAAAATTATCACTCTTTGGACAGTTATGAGAAATTATAGCGAATCAGTTATGATTGACAATGTAATTTTTGGCGGGAAAATGTGACATCTATGTTTGTATTAGCGCCATAGAGTACATATGTGCAGAAACATCACGTTGGAATCACAACTGACAAGCTCCGTAAAAATGTTTATTTTCCTATTGAGTTTCCTATCAAACTTTTGGAGGTTTACAAACAAAAAAAAACACCATTATCTAAGGAAATTGAATGTTATCTTCCGTGATTAGAAATTCTCCAAAGCATTTATATGTGATCCTCCTGAGGGAGCGCGCGCTGCTACGGAACCACAGACAATAGAATAGAGTTCTGTTTCTATCAGGGGCCAAGTTTATTACTACTTACACACAGTCTTGTTTAATCTATGACATAAAATGCTTTAAATGTAAACGATGTTAGTGAATGCGAGTAGTAAATAAAATTGTATCCTGCGTATTTATAAGCCACAACACAGCAGCCTTAAACAATAATAGTTATAAGTATTTTTATACAATTTATGAAATAGTTTAACGAAAAAGTCCGCAGCGGCGCGCGCGTCCCCGGTAACAAAGTTTGAATACAATGCAGTGCCATAGCCGTCGAATAACCTCAGATTTATACTTACTAGATTTTTATACCAATACAAATGGATTTAATTTTTAAATATAAACAAAGGTGATTAAGTATACAGAGATTACAGATGATATTTTATACATTTATTACAAACAATATTATTAAAAGTAAATGTGAATTAGTCTTAAATTTTAGTATCGTACTACAATGTACTAGGTACCTTATCTTGAATATTATAAAGCAGGTTTTCTTTTATAAGTTAACAGCGTGTGTAAACTTGACATGTTAGGAGATAGGGTCAGTTTACACGGCCCGAGGCGTACGAATTATTCGAGCTGGATTACATGCGTCGAAGTAATCGCCGCGAGTTAGTGCACATATCAGATATTTAAAAGGCAGTGTTGCAATAATAAAATGCGCGTACTTATTCTGCTTTCTTATAAACGTAACACATTGATCAGAATAAGTGTTTTAGGTTGATAAAAAAAAATTCCCAGGCTTTATGCCTTGCTCATTGTTTCGTTAAGTTTTGCTCAATTATTTGGTGTAACGTTTTTTTTATCTTTATTCATGTTAGTTTAATGCGTCATATTACGTGGTTTTTTTTGTACAATACATTTAGAGAGCACGGTTTTGCTTTTCTTTAAACTCGTTAAGTATCGTAGAAATACACTGAGACATTTTTATGTAGTGAAAAAACAACCATATTTCTTCTGCTTCCCGTTGCAATCTGATTGAGCGTGGTTTTCTTATACCAAGATCTCCGTTTTAAATCATATTATCTCCGTTATGTTAACAATAATGATAGGGATGACATATTTACAGAGATTTTGGTATCAAAAACCCACGGTAAAACAAGATATATTAATTATAACATGCCGTCCAGTCTATTCGTTTTTGAATGCCCACACACATATTTTCTTTTAAATGACAACAAACACTTTCAGTAGGTTCCTATTGATAACAAAATGACAACAGATTTATGTTTCCATTCATTTACCGTTGCTAAAGGGAAGCTATGAAAATGAGCCTTGTTACAACTTAAAGGATATAAGGAATCAAATTCCAATGTAATTCAATCAGAACATTTTCACTACATTTTATTATTAGCTATATTTAATATTATTTGCATCGCTAAATAACGTTTGATTGATACCACTAAACATATATTAGTTTGTTTTAAGTTGTTACGAAATAAAAGGAGAGAATAAGATTGCTGATATGCATAACAAGAATCGTATCGATTATCAATTGTATAAAATACAATAAAAAAAATTTATTCCGTATCTTTGCTAAGCTTAGTAGCGAAATTTATGTTTTTTTAAGCTATTATAGTTATTTTTTCACTTAAACAAAATTCCTTTTCGAATGTTAAAAATGCATTTATTAATGATCTCAAGGCATTTGAAAGATTAGTGATCAGCTGATTTGTGTTCTTTTTTTAAAAGATGAATTTATTTTCCAATTTTAATGGCATTGTCTGGTAACACTAAAATACTGTTTAGGGCTGTCAATAATCTTTATATTTTATGCATAAAATGATATGTAGTAATTATTTTTAAATCTCACATTAATACGTCATTTGAAAGAAAGTCGGTTATATTTTTTAATTGCAATTTAAAAATGCAATGAATAAAATGGCTCTATTTTAGTGGCAGCCCTAATTTTGTACGTTATTATTTACACATGTATACCGCAATTTTAGAAGTTTTACAGAAATGACGCCATGTTTTTTTTTAATTACTGTATTTATGTAAGTTTTTGTGCGAAGTTAAACGCGTTTGCGTCACTTTAAAATTTTTCTTTACATTTTCAAATTATTTTCTATTAAAAAAGTAATATTAAAACAGTTTGTCTCTATAGGATGTATTATAAAATCTAAATTTGGTATACGATCTTTTTGTAAATTAGTAACATTTCTGGTAATTTATTATTTAATAAGAAATTAAGCGTGAGTAGGATTTTGGCGTTAAATTTGTCTTATTAATTAAAAGAAAAGTGTTTACTATGGGTTTTCAAAATTCAAACACGTCCAAAAATATTATCTATGGCCAGTACTAAATGAGTTTAGAAGCCTTAAAGGCCGGCAATGCATCTGCGGTTCCTATGGTATTGCTGATGTCCATTGGCGTCGTTGAACACCTCGGTGTTCCCGCTGCTCGTTTGCCCCCTTCTGTTATAAAAAAGCCTTCAATAGACGAGATATATGTAAAATACGTAATTGAATTGACAAGCATATAAATTACCTTGATGCTACAGAGTTTGTAAATGCCATTTCACTCTGTCAAGTGTTAATCGCGTCATAAACAAGAACACCTAACCTGTACCTACATTTAAAATGTAAAAAATCTACGTACCCAGAATGTTCCAATCGTTGGTTTCTAATACCAAAATCTCTGTAAATTTTCCAAGATGATAAAATGTTTTACAAGTGTTTGAACAGTGGAAACCCATAGTTAAATCGAACTGTTGTAACCCGCACTGTAACAAATTGTAATTTTTATCGCACTCTCGATTGTCGAATTATTTATTTCGAAAGATTTTTCAATAATACATTTTTTCGACTCTTTAGCAAACATATGTATTTATACAATACCGTAGTATTTCTCGTTATAACATATCCCAATATGACAGAGATTCACGGTTCCAAATTATATAAAATTAGTATGTATGTAACGTATTTTGAGTGAATCCTCGCCCATGCATAAATAATGGAGCTTAGTGTAAACGATTAAGTTTTTCTTTTAGATCGTTGGCTACGAATTATTTTGAAGTCTTCCATTTTTGCAGTAGTTTATATATGCATAATGTTGTATAATCTGTATCACCATATTCAGTTGTTTGTTTTTTTTTCATATCTTATAATGTATATTTTAAAAAGCAATGTCAAGCAATCTGCAGATGCTGCAGTGTTAGTGCAATACACGTCACGACACGTCAACACGACGTCAATTGTATATTTTAATTTTCTTTAAGGTCATAGTATTAGTGAACTTAATAATTGGTAGCCAACATAGATGGCCTATTTTGTTTTTAAACTAAACATAACCTCAAATATGTACACACTGCCACTCGCCAACCGCTGTCATGTGTATGAAATGATTAAAAAAAAAAAGAATTAATTTTTATCACAATAGCGACTTGTTGAAACAGTTCCACATAAAATAAGAGTTGTTGAATTTTTTATAAAAGATAAAACATATTAGATTTATGATCTTGTAGTCTGGATTGAGTTTTTTACAGATTTTATTGGAGGCATCGTTTCAGTTTGCAGTTAGCGTGCAGTTGCGTCGCCCGCTTAGCTTATTTTTGCTACAATACTTATTTGAGACAGATAAAGTTTACTTATACCGGATATTACAATAGTTATACACGTTTTACAATATATACAAACACATTTTTATACAATAGAGAGTTGATATGAGATATTTTTGTTTTACAACGAAGCCCTGTGAGCGACGTAGCTGCGCCCCGACATTTATTTCAATGAAATGGTGCTGTTATATTATTAATTGTACATATTTATTGTAATATACGACAATAGACTGGTAATTTTACAATGTTGTTAGGTTTCTACAAAGTTATTCGCCGAGGCTGCGGAGAATACTTCCTTATATTAGTCGAAACGACCATTTAAAGTAATTTAAAAATTTATGCAACACAATAGTTTTATCAAATGCTTTTTATATTTTATAAACGTGTCTTCAGATTGAAAAAATCGTTCTCAAAAACAATAGATAATCGTTATTTTTTTTAAAGAAGCAATTATTTTAAAGTCAAACATATTAATTTACAAAAAAATAAATTTAAAATTTGTAATTTCTATCATTTAATTATCTGTAAAACGCACAACAAATGTTTGTCTATTTTTATGATAATCAGATTATAAAATTCGCAGTTTTTAAAATATAATTAGTTGTTTATGTCAGAAGCTATTTTTTTTTCGACTATTAGTAAATAGTTGTAGGAAGTGATTCTCAACAGCCTCTGTCCACATGTTACATTAGAGTATATTTTCTTACAAACAGAGACACCGAAATAGACTATATAAAATTGATTTTAGACAATCCCAGAATACAAGATCGAACTTTTTACACACAACAGTTCAATACAGATATCATTTAATTTTTCCATAGAGTTATGTTTATTTTTTAATGGTGAAAAAAAGCAGTTGGTTGCGATATGGTCACAGATCCAGGCGAAAAAAAATTGTATCGTTGGCATTTATGAATAAAAAAGAAATTGTATATATATTTTCTAGTTCTTCCAAAATGATTATAATCAGTATTAAATACAAAATTCGACTTTGGTTAGGTCAAAAATGTATGTGTGATCTATAGAGAAATTTTTGCATTAGATTTTTTCTTGTAACTTTTTAAAATAATTATCTTTAGTTTTTTTTTATTATTATTATTTTTCTTAAATATATTTTTACTTGAATTATAACGATCTTGCCTAGATTTGCATTTATGTTAGTTACGTACGATACGTTTGAAGTTGATACCATCGTATTTATGTATATTATTATTGTATTAAGGGTTTTGTTTGTTTTTTTTTTGTCATTAATAGAATTAAAATGTTGTAAAAAGTAAGCTCGTTGTATTTTATCAAATAAACACTTTTTAGTCCAACTGAAGCAATACAAAGCAGTTTTATTTCATGTCGTGTACTTTTTCCTTGATATAATCTCCATACCACAAATAAACACATGAAAAAAAATTTGAAACTTCGTAAACATAACATATTTTCGCTCCATATAACTAGAAACAAAGCTTAAAAAAGGTTGAATGTCTGTATGTCTGCAACTTCGTGTTTGTTCTGAGTAATCTCTGGTACAGCTGGACCGATTTTGACTTTTATTGGAAGGTAGTACTTTTTTAATCCCATGTTAGCAAAGTTCCGAAAAATAGTTGTAAAATATATAAATTGTGTGAATATATGCACTAAAACGTTATTTAAAGTTAAGTAAAATACATATACTGTTAGAAAGAAAATCCGACGCAATGCCGGTGTACTGGCACAACACTAGCCTTACTAAAATGTCAACGTTTATGTCCCCTCACTAATCATTCTGACACTTCACTTTGTAACAAAAGCGCGTCATTCGCGCCAAAGGATTCTAACTTATAATGTCTAAACTACTTGGATTTAGATCAAATCAAATTAAAATTGGTAAATGAAAAAACAAAACTAAATCTAAAAGAATTTTATTTGTATAAGTTTCTGTTTCTATTTAAACATTTTTTATTATCACGTTTCTCCGTTTCTCGACAATTTAGCGATGCTCTTCTGGTTCATATAAATACAGATGTCCATAAAAGTCAGTCCTAGCAATAGAGAATGTCCCATCATGTCCTTTTGTAATTCTTTTTGTGAACGAAACATGGAAACTATACTTTCACTGACGTATACATGTGAATTGTTGGGACAAATTTTCTTCGCATTTTCCAAAAGCATTTCTACCGTTTGGTCCGTTGATACTCTTTCGTTTCCCACCAATGTTCCGTACAATCTTTAATAAAATTGACATTTTAGTTACAGCGACATCTGTCGTTTTAAAGTGAAACTACAGCGAGCTATTCATAATGATGTATAAGCGCCATCTATGACTACTTCTATTTTGTTTACAAAAATATCAATAGATGGCAGTGTTCATAAAATATAAAAAAATTACCTGTAAGGTAATGTTGATCGCAGAAAATATATTTTCTGATTTAGTTTATCCGTATTCTCTCCACTAGTCCTGAAAAAATAACTAATCTAGACTAGAATCTATTTTATCTGTTCATTGAGTTCCTTAAAATTTCAAATATTTCAAGTCAATACTTCAGCTAAAAAATTGCTAAATTATTCCCAAAAACAGAATTAAAATTTCAAGTTATTTTTTTTTTTTTTGAAAGAAAGAAAAGTTTTTATTATAGGTAATACAGATTAAACCAAGAAACAATAACATAATAAAAATTAAATTAAACTTAAGTTACCATTTATGGTTAATTTGGATAATCTAGTGATGCCCACACTAGGCAATGCCTGTATCGTGGGCACCGATATTCAGATAGGTATATAATATTCAGTCCACAAAATTACAAAACTACAATTGTACATCCTCAACAGGGAAATTTAACAATCATAAAATTGAACCTTACCTGTCTACATTAATATTCCTTGTATTAATCAGAGCAATCATCATGGCAATCATTTGAGCTTTTTGCAAGTTGACGGTAAGAACTTTTGGATTGTTAGGATCACTCCCCGCTGCACGGAGACTGGTTGACTCCGCTTTCATTACGTAAATATCAGCTTCCGGTAATTTTGTGGTTATTTGCCATGCCTAAAATAACATAATATTTTTACAACTGTAGACAACTGTAGAATAAATGAAAAGGTATGAGTTCAAAATTATTGCAATATGTTATAAAGTATATAAACATTATTTTCTATTTAAACAAAGACTTGATAATCCACAAAAAAGTTCTCGAGAATCTATAGAAAATTAAATTTTGACACAATTAAAAACAACCTCATTATTTGTTGGAAATATTTCTGTCAAGTTTCTATGTCTTATTAATTCAACAATGATTTCATATTAAAAACTTACAATATCCAATATTTCATTGATCTGTAGCCTCTTTCCATCAGGATATTCAATTCCATGGTACTTCCACTCGAGAAGTTCATAGTTTGTTCTATCAATAAGAGTCCAGCACACCGAGTTTACTGTTACATACACTGATAGCACCGATCTGCAGTTCTTAAAATAATGTCTAGGATGAATGGAAGATATTAAACAAATGTTGTCTAAATGGAATCAAAGCAAGGAATTAAAAATCAATGTTCAGTCTTATTTAAAATGAACTAATAACATATCTTACTTCTTACCAGTATTATAAATTGATGGATGGATGGATTTTGTTAGTAGATATCTCCAGAACAGCTGCAAGGATCTTGATGAAATTTGGCATAGATGTAGAACATAGTGTGGAACAACACACAGGCTATTAAGGATATTTACTAAGTTTTTTTTTCTGCACTGGAGTTATGGGCTACAGCCAGTTTAATATACATACAAGAATATAAGCAGAATAAGAACTTGCTAATAAATATATTAATATTTTAAGTAAACAAGTTACCTGTCTAACAGTTTCTAATAATGTTGGATGTAAAATTTGGCCTTTTATCCTATTCGCTACATTCTTTGGTCCATCCAGTATACTCTTGTAGAATTTCTTTACAGTTTTTTCAGTAAAACCATCTACATTCTCCAATTCAGATATGTCTTTCAGTTTTCCATATTTTTTTATCCATTCAGATAGTTTTTTTACCCTAGTTTTTGCGACATCATACCTACAAGAAAATAAAATTGCTTTAAATTTAAACATAATAAAACCTAATAAAGCAATTTGATTTAATTTTTGGTACCTAGATAAACTTTCTGAATCACTACTGTTAAGAGTGTGTAGGATTTTCAATTTTTCACTATCAGAATATTTATTATCTGCTTCTAGACTTAGGTAACATTTTGTTGAGGTCACGCTCCGATATGATTTACTGGTAGAAATCTACAAAAATCAAGTCCCTATTACAATCCATTCAGAATTATGAATAAGAACGACATAAAAATAAAAACTAACCAAAAATTTCCTATTCACTATGCTTAACATTATGGTATATTTAGTTTTATTACATTGAGTTCGACGTTATTTTTACTTTGATATAAATAACTTATTTTTATTTAATATTATGTAAATTAAACAACGTTACAGTTTTATTTTATTTTGAACGGCTCGCATAAATGAACACTTCATTGACATTGACAATCTGTCAACAAACTGACAATGACAAATAGGAAACAGTGAATGCGAGGATTATAGACTATAAAATAAATAAGTTTATTAATATTGTGATAAAATAAATAAATGTCCTCTACCTCTTAAAAAGTGATGGTAACTACCAACTTGGTTAAAAAACCTGATAATAATTAAATATGCTTAAACCTGAATCAAAGGGTTTTTTGGATTTTTATTAATTGTAAAAATATCGATAATGGTATCAATCGATACCTATACTAAAACTGTAATTAATTTCTAGTGTTGTGCAGTGATTTTTTACTTATTCCCTACTAAGGGCATTGCCAAATGAAAGAAAGTGTTGCTCCAACTTTTTGATGATGCAATTGGATTGTTTAAGGGGAGAGAATAGAATATTAGATGAGTTACCGAATTTAAAAGACTTTAATATTTAAAATAAATAGTTTTGCCGTAAAATTGAAGCGCTTGCGCACATTTCATGACCATAAAAGGGGTTTAATTTGGTGACTTCTGGTGTATGCACCAATAAAAAAAGCTAACAACGAAATATTTTGCTTTAAAATTTTTAAATATTACTTTTTTTGAGTATTCTCAATGTCCTAAACTAGCGTTTGATATTTGATAACACTGCCATCGCGCGGTTAATTTAAGAAACACTATATACTGATACGAAACATACGTATCATATAAGTATAGATGCAAAAACATATAAACAGGTAGAAATTTTAGGTTATAAGATATGAACACCATAAATTCACAATAAAATTTAATTAATAGGAGACCAAAGCTAAGATTTTAGTGCATGGGAGAGATATAACCGTCAGAAATATCGTCATCTTGTAAGGTTAAAGTGCATAAGCAAAAAGCAATCAAGATATCTTACGTAATGCAGAACTAAGTCACCAGTTGACTTCCATTTCTCCTTTGATTCTTGAACCTGCCCCATTGGAGCGACAGTTTCATTCTCATGCAATGCAAATTGTGGGTGGACTTGATATGCCAACAGAAGTGTTCATTGCCGAAACCTTCATAAAAAAAGGTAATGGTGACAGTTGAGAAACAATAGAATAAGAATTGATACCTAATTAAAAAACAATGCCTAAACATCCAATAAACCGGTAAATCAGGTCACACCAAAATAAATTTTACTAACCCTTTCCAATTATAATAATAAAACTGATATTCTGCTTTTGCGCAGTTTTTTAATTACCAGTAAGTTTAATTCAAATAGTTAGTAATCAGTACGAAAGAAGAGTACAGGGGGAGTTAATAAAGAACCGCGGCAGTCAGTTCGATTCTCCTAGTGGGAAGAGTAATATAGCTATCTCGCTTCATCTCGTGGAAGAAGCTACGACAAAATGGCGCTGCACGATACGGCCAGGTTTTGCGTCAACTACATTCGATTATTGACTCCAGTAAGAGCAGCTTCCTTACGGTCTACGCTGCAAAATCATTAGTCACTTCCAGAAGTCCAGTGTCGCCATATTGGTAAGATTTTAGTATTTTATTTTAATGTATCATTATGGTTTTTTTTATATTTGTTAATTTCATCCTACCCACCTTAACAACCTACACATTAACCTTTGTTTATATACTAGTAAGGTAGTATATTTATAAAGATACTATGTTTCCGATATTCATCATCATCACTTGCATCTTCATCAGTTGACCTTATCTGATGATTTTACTGTCTTACTAGATATGTGATTGTAATTTTACTCAGTATCCATATATCTAATAAGAATTTGTTAAAGTCATCATAAACTTAGTCACAAGAGATATTTTTAAAGATATCTCAAATAATCACCGTATACAAAATAACTTTCAAATGTATGTATGTAAATGTGTTTTGCATATGTGTGGGTTGCTCGTAATACAGCGCATCAGTATGGCAACATCGCATTTTGATAGTAGAGCGGTTGCCGTTATTATTATTAACAATTCATTTTATAGCTTCTGATTTCAAACGCGCTAATTGTTACAAATATTGCAATTTATCAGTTAAATCACATTTTGAAGAACTTTCGACATCGGACCAAAAAATCAAAGAAATCAATGTGTTTGTGCGCATGGCATTTAATACATTTGAGCTTGTATGGCCTTGTACATATAGCACATGTGTGTATATGCGGCACGTTACCAAACACTTTTACAGTATTGAACCGCACTACTAAACTTCTCCCGTTGAGATACCTATGTTCGCCAGCGAAATGAGAAGTATTTTAGTTTTTACAACCTACATGACGCGCGTACTAAAGCTGTTTATACGGCTACAAATAATTCCATGTCTTTAACTACCTAAATATTAATAATTTAAAATTGCCATACAACGTGATAATGGTATTTAGAAAGTACTAAATGGTATCGACTAAATCGCATTCACCTGGAATCTAAACCTAATTCGAAAAAAAGATCTCGCTGTCTTTAAAATTCTGTATTATAATTCTTGTACTCATGTAGTCTGGGCGCCATTTTGTTTCGTCGGCCATTTACGTCATTCGGTCACATTGTGACTTTTTTCTTTGTTTGTATGATTAAATGATAGTATTAGAAAATATCTTGTTCTGATAATTTATATGTATCAAGGATCTAAATTAAATCGATAAAATTTTGGAACTGCTTTCATTAGTAATATTTTTACTCTTTAAGCACTAGTGAAACTGTAGATCCGTCAAACTTCAGTTTCAGATTTGTTGCTTTTGGTTCTATATGAGATGGTAAATTATTGTCATCTCATCATCGTGATGTCTTATTGATTTTTTCTTATATTCTCCATTGTATTTCTATTCAGTTTCCATAGTACATAATTGAATCAATGTACAGTGATGTTACCATATTTCCAGATCTGCCAGGTCTTTGCCAGATTCTAATATCATACATCAGTCTATTTTAGACATCATCATGACGTAGAACAGCCAGTAATACGTCTGCTTGCTCGGCTTTCCGAGCGCGTTCGGCTGAGCTCGGGTAAAATCGGTAAATGTCAGTGTCAGCGGCCTACTCGACTCAAAAGGCGTCGCGCGTAGAACTGGCAACGTCGCAAAAATTCCATAACCTACATTTTTAAATCAAATATAATTTTCTATCATAAATATTCTGTTTTTGTCTTTTGTTAAAATGCTTTCGATTTTTTAATAATAACAGTCAATATTTCTATTATTAATTTATATTTTCAATTCTCATAATACAGGATAATAGTTACAACGTAAATAAATTATAGGATAGTAAGGGATAAAGGATGCTTACATTAAAAACTATTACAAGAGTAGAACGCAGGAGAATGAAACTGCTGTCTTAATGCGATGCTAAACGAGGTACTTTACCTCGTACTGTGCGCAGAGCAACGAACATATCAGACCCGACGCGGCATTGCATATTTTACGTATGCCCCATCTCTGTCTCACATACCGCCGTTGACGTAACCGGTCTTGTTCCCTCCTAAATACGCACGGCAACGTCTTCGCCAATGAACTCTCTCAGTATTCGTTACTCTGTTCCAACATGGCTCGTTTCGCGTCACATTCGCTCGTCCGCCATTTTCTTCTCACTCGTTCTGCTTATGTCAGTGCTGTTACAACCGTGACTCTGACCGCTTGTTTCGTGTTAAGTTGTAACTTCTTATTCACTCTTTTACTTCTGGATTCTCTTGTCATTTACGAATAGGTAGGTATTTTGAAATTAGTAGTTTTTCGGGTAATAATAGTTATTTGTTTTTTGATTTTTATTTTAGCACTTGTTTTTTTTTTAGATTTTTTATGGTAATTTGAATTTTGTATTTTTGAGTAAATGTTTTTTGTACTGGCAAATAAGACATCCATTTCTTTTATTTATTATGATATGTAACATTTATGACATTTCAATTTTTAGTATAAAACTTATACTCACCTATTATTTGTTATATCCCGAAGCAGAATACTAGTTTCATGGCTGAGATTCTTGAAAGTTTGAAAAAACTGTTGAAAAGTGCACTATGTTGCCAATGTTCATCATCATAGTGTTGTTCATCGTACTTGTTTGTCTTTTGGCCTGGTCTTTATTGCTGTCGTTCGATAACGCTTCGTACAGGTTTCCACCTTCACCTCTGTTAAAGACGTAATAGCTGCTCATGCGTCTATCTCTTTCGCTCTTCCGCTATCCGCCTGGCGTCAGACACGATGCGAGTTAGTAATCCACTCCGCCGCGGAGTCACCGCGTTCTTTTCACCGTCCAGCGGTGCAGCTCTACACCGATAAGAATTTATACCGGTAGTCAACTCAATAACCGTTCCGTCGGCCATTTTATTTTAGCCGCTGTCACTTGACATTTGTTTATGCTTTTTTTTTGTAACTTCATGCGCTTTTTTTATAACTTGTGCCTTATTATTATGATTATGAATAATTAAAGATAACAGCCGTTTTTAAAATACACTTATGATATATTTTAAAAATTGTCTCTATATTTCGTATAAAATAGCAGAATGTTTGAACGTTACCTTTATTTTTTTAAATAATACGATTGCCATACTGAAAATATATGAATCGAAGCAGGTCTGAGGTCATAGTATAGAAAAGGGTTTGGACAGTATTTTGATCTAAACTTTTTCTGAGAGACTCAAAAACTATAACCTTTATTTAATACCGGTTACCATGGTAATATTTTGTTTTGACAGTAAAAACTTTTGACATTATGTCATCTATAAATTGAATCTAACGTGTAAAAAGTGAGTAACACCTTTTTAGGATAAAAATACACGAAAAATTGTTGATTTTAGTTGTCCTCTTGTACGGTCCGGTTATATTTACATTAAAATTCACATTAGTAACGCCGGAATATTATTGCAACCAGAGTTTTTAAACTGATTAAGGCTTTTGAAAATCGTTGACTTGCACTTTAATAAATATTTTTTATAACTTACAGATAAATCAAGTATGAGAGATGTGATTACAAGTATCATACAATGCAATTACCTGTTGATACTGGAGCTCCTCTAGACATAGAATTTAAAATGTCCACAATTACTGAAGGGACTTTAAAAGAAACGATCATTAACAATGTAGATGAAGCGTTTTCTGATAATATCAAAAATTGCGGCGAAATCGAAAAAGACAATACTACTGATATTGCTGAAAACAATGATAAGTTGCAAAATTCATTATCTAGTCACAAAATCGTGGAAAATGACATCAAAATAAATACTGCAGAGAGTAAAGAAATTGAAAAATGCACATCCGAGGAAATTTCTATTGATGATTTTGAGAGCAAAGGTCATAGTCCAAAAAGTAGTACAAATGAACAAAATAACTCCGAGGATATTGTTAATGAAAATAACGCAATAAATCAACATCAAGAATTGGAGTCGCAAATTTTATGTAACCATAATTCAGAAGAGAAAGAAAATGTCATCCAAACTGATGGAACTGAAAAGTTAGTCAACGATGAAAGTGAACAACAATCAAACGTTGTCGTCCCAAAACTTGAAATGAAAGATCAGATAAACGGTGATGATATAAAAACTAAGAATAACGAGAACACAAATAATGATAGTAAAACAGACAACAAGGAGGTTACATTAAAGGAAAATGAGATTAAAAAACATGAAGGTGAACAAACAAATAACGATAGAAAAAATTTGGACACTGAAAGTTTAATCCCTGACAATGTTATTGATCAAGTTCCTACTATAGCTGATGAAAAAAAGGAGCAATCTCTTAAAGATGTCACGGAATCTCAATCAGAAAATACTGTATCACCTATCTCACCTAAAATAGACAAAGATGAGAATAATCCTATAGAATTAAATAATGCAGTTGAGTCTACTGTAGAAGACACTTCTAAGACAGAGAATAGTACAAAAGAAAGCGAAATAACGCAAGAAAGCATAGCATCAACTGCAACAGATACTAAAAGTAGTAAAATTGGAATAGAAGATGAAAAAATAAATGAAACTAAAACGCACAATAGTACAGATAACGAAGAAAACGTAGAGAGTAAATTGGTTGAAGAAAAATCGTCACTGATACCTAAATTAACAAATATTTTAGATTTACTCTCTGACGATGAAGAAGAGCGTCACGGGGACACGTTTAATAATGAAACGTCTAACGTTGACAAGCAGTGCATAAGTCTTGTAGATGATGATGATGTTATGTTAGTAGATGAGGACATAAATGTTAAGGAAGATGAAAAAATCAGTATTGACACAGAGAATGTAATTCCGGAAACGTGTGATGAGAACGATACTACAAATCAAGAAGAGAAAGATGAAATAATGGATGCAAACCTAGAAACAGGTGGGTTTTGTATATGTTTTAGTAATATATTCATCTAGCTAATCAATGGAGACCTTAATTTAACCGAGGAAAAAATCAGTGTTTAAAAGATTCACTCGAATAGCATTGATTGAAAATTATTGCACTTTTTAAAATAAAATTTCTATTTTCGCATTATTTTTTTTGTACGTCTATATTTTTTTTGTTACAGGTTACGAAGAAATTGTATACAATTTAGATAACAACGAAATAGACAATAAAATAAATGACATAAGAGAAAACAGTTCTTCAAAACCTTTGTTGTCATTAAACTTCCTAAGTGATTGCAAAAAAGCGTTAGCAGATATGACACGAGAAGACTTGGAAGATTTTTGTAGTTTGAAAATTGTGGAAAGCGTTATGGATAGAAGTAATTTAGGGGATCTAAAAGTTCAGCTTAAAACTATGGCGGCTACTATTGAGGAATATAAAAAGAAGACTAATTTAATAGCTAAACAAAATAGAGACCTACAAGTAGTATTAAAATCAGTACAAGAAGAACAAAAAAATTCATTAGGTACTACAGTAACTCCCTTGAAAATAACTCGCTCAGTGGGTATGCAAGTACTAATGACAGATAAACCCAATGCAAAAAAGAAAAATGCACAAATGACAAATTCAGGTGCAATGCCAACTCAAACTTCGTATGCAGATAAAACAAACCGTAACTCTAGTGTTCAAAAACCCATTCCCGTCCCAAGACTAGTACCTGCTTCTAATACTAACAACAAAACGAGCACCGCTGCAGCATCCAATACTACTGATCCTGGAAAGTCCCCACCGGTACCTCCATTAGTTAATGGTGTAACAAATTCATCCCCTGTATCAAAGCCAGAAAAAAGATCTAGAGTGCAATCAGTAACAGTAGACTTGACAGATGACGAACCTCCTTTTAAGGTAACTGCAAAGAGCTCACCCGCTCCAGGTGTGAGATTGGTACCAGCACAGAATTTATTACCACCTCAGAGACCTCAATTTGCACCAACAATAACTAGTCCCAGGAAAGTGTACATTCCAATAAGTGGTCCACAAGCACAGAATGTTAGATCAGGGCAAGCCCTCGTATTAAAAACGGTTCCATCTTGCCCAGGTTAGTATAAAATTTAATGTTCATTGTGCATAATGTCATAATTGAAAAAAAATATCTAACTTTAATTTTTGTATTCCAGCAATGAGGCCGAGAATGCCTACAAACAATAATTTTAATAAAATACAGCCAAATACCATACGAATGAACCGACCAATGCCCCCAATCAAACATCCCGCACCATTACCTGACGTTGTCAAACAATACCAACCCATAAGTTGGAAAATATTGCCGCCGCCGCCGGAGTTAAAGCTATCGAAGGTCGAAAATGGAATTGTGATCTCATGGAAAATTGAGGGATATAAAGAAGAAATTCATGAAAAAATTGGTAGTTATCAACTGTTTGCTTATCAGGAAGCAAGTAATCCACCCAGTACGGCGTTATGGAAAAAAATCGGCGACGTAAAAGCTTTACCCTTGCCTATGGCATGTACATTAACTCAATTTTTGCCAGGGTTTAAATATTACTTTGCTGTTAGAGCTATTGATATAAAATCGCGATTTGGGCCATTCAGTATGCCTGCTAGTATACTTCTCCTTAACAAAATATAAGACTGATTTCTTTGAAAATTGCTATTAATAAAAGCACAATTTCTGCTCTAGCAGATTAGTAGAAATATGTATCGCATCAGCAATTTACAATAATCTGTACCATTATTTATTGGCATTTTTTTTTGTAAGGACAAGATATAAAATACACATATTAATAAAAACGATTAGCTGTTGACCGTGACCATTTGCCAAGTATTTTAAAAACACCCTTAAACAATAACCTATTGCTGATGATTATTTTGTTTTTAAAAAGTGAAGTCAGACACACACCATTTGCTTGTAAATATAATATTAAGTACGGTGTATTTTAAATAGTAAATAAAATTATCTCAGTGTTCTTATTGTGAATTAAATGTTTGGTTTTAGCATGTTCATCAATTAATGTTAACATACTTTGATGTTCCTTAGTTCTTTGTTAACCTTTTATTGAATCTTAAAAAAATATACATACAATGAGTACATATTACTTTTGTTTTTTTTTACTCCACATTTTATAGAAATAAAGACAAAATAGTTTTATCTTTCTAAAAATGTGTCTGTAATATTTATGTCGACCTTGTCCCTAAACCGGAATGTTACTAGTTGTAGTCTAGTTCGCGTATGGAAAAAAAAATATTTTTAACACCAGTGGCTGAAAAAACAACAACACACGTTTCGAAAAAAACCTGCTCTGGTCATACTTTTTAAAAAATTGATGCATTCCATCCCAAGAAGACTGAAATAATATTTGTAGTTTCAGTTGAAGCCATTTTTATTACGGAATATAAATACAAGGTAGTGGCAATTGTACAGTTTCGAAAAATTATCTGGTCCAAGAGGTGCGTTACTATCACAGTTATTTCTTAGTTCGTATCGAAAATTATGTTATGATGTATCGAAAGAGACAAAACATGGCTTCTTTCAACTTTCTACTTTGTTGCTTTGTCGCACTGTACAAGTGGTTATTTGTTACAATTAAATGTTGTGTTTATTTCTTTGTTAAGCCACAAATTATTCTAAGAATTATTAAATGGATGCTTACGTCATCATATTATTATAATTTTAATATTTAATTGTGAGAAAATTACTTAAAATTATTACCAAACCTTAAAACGTTTTGTCTTTGCTCTGAGAATATTTTTATTGGGTATCACTGAAGCTGTCACTTGTCAACTTGTCCTGTCATTTTATTGCAGTATTTTTTTGTTGGCAACTCAGTTCAGATTCTTTCCAGTTTCCAGATCCAGTTTTCTGTTGACTTGTGTTGGGATGGATCGTGTTTAGTTCGTCTTATTGCGAATTGCTCTTTAAGGGCACATCTTAATATTTTAGTGGATAATCTTTGTCAACATAAAATGTATTATAATCTAACCTACTGTTATTATATCGAAATGAAATTTGTTTTATAGTGAAACAATTTCGATAATTTGACGTAGATTGACAACACTATCGTTTCGCAAGTAGTTACCACGGTGTCTTATTTGTGTACTATTGGTGAAAAACGTTTGCTATATTGTCTTGTTGTGGGCTGGTCATTGTTTACAGCCACAATTTGTTAATCTGTTTACAGTGTGATAAATAATACGTGTATTGTGAACGTGGTCATTAGTATCGACTCGTTTCTATGTGAATGTAAATTGTGATATCGCTCGCGTTTTGTGTTTCGATTTCGAGCCATGCTGATGCTTTATACGTGTTTCTCCGGCGCTGTCTTTCGGCTGGTGAGTGTTAATCGGATTACTAACAACTTCTTTTTAGAACTTATATGTATTAAAAGTCTAGTACAAACAAAGTTTACAAACCTTTTTGATATAAATTAATTAAAAAAAAGTCATGAATAACTGTACATATCAGTTAAAAAATAACTGTACATATCTGTACAATTTTTTCAAAATTTATTTCAAATTTAATCAATTTGAAATGTCTTGATCAAATTCTATTCACCTTAGTTCATATTACTTCCCATCACATTGCTATTCCTAACTGTTTGCTATAGTATATGCAAAGATAAATAAAATAAGCTAGGACTACAATGACTACTCCTAAAGCCATCTTTTAAAATTTTCTAATTAAGTCCTATAACTGCTTTATTTGATGTTAAAGACATCATATACAGACTCTTTGTAACACCTCATTTTTTTTACTATGTATGCTTCATGTATTAAGTCGTATTAAATATATTGTGCACAACTCACAATTATTTAAATTGTATAAAATAAAATGACATTAATTGTTAATAACATTGACAAACGAAAATGTTATCTGTATCCACTTGAACTAGTTATCAGTAATTAAATATGTCATTATCTTTAATAGTAAAACAAATAGCTGACACTTAGATGTTTATTGGTTATAGTTATATTAGCTGTGCCCGTGTCTTCATTCACGTGGTTGTAGTCACATAAACTGTTTATACAACAGACACAACGAAAGTCAAACATTTTTCACTGATACTTTGCTTTTATTGATCTCAGCATAATGTTATATAGCCTAAAGCCTTCCTCTATAAATGGAATATCCAACAAAAATGGAATTTTTCAAATCGGACCAGTAGTTCCTGAGATTAGCATGTTTAAACAAATAAACTCTTCCACTTTATAATATTAGTATAGATATAGATAAACTAGCCTTGTTAAGTGTCAATTGTGTTATTCAATTACATTTTATTTAGACATAACAAATTTGATATATGCACCTTACAGTGACCTCCTGTCCTTCTCAAATATTTATTGATAAATTAGCAAAAGTTAAATGATAAATTAATTATCAACTCAGTGCAATCTTTATTTTTAGCCTTTATCGGTGGTTTAGTTGTAAGACTTATTAAAAATTTTAACCACTAACTGTTGAACAATATTATTGTTACTATGTACATTTAAAATAAATATTCCGTGGCAAATTAAAAAAAATGCAGACATGATGCTGTCAATATGAGACTATAGGACATTTTACTGAGTGTTACTGTGAAATTGCTCAGGTGAAATTTACGCAAATGCATAGCCATCTCTCTCTTACCCTCTATGAAAAGAAACAGAGATAACTATATCTTTTGTATATGTGTTATGATTATGGATAAGCAAATACTTAGCTTAGAAAAACGTTTTCAACAATAGGGTCCGACATTTTACTTCTAATTTGGAAATCACTTTGGGACATACCATAAAAAACTAAGTGTTTCAAATATAATATCACGATTATTGAAATTTGATTATTGGTAGGCTTCGGAAAATGTGATCTTGACGAATGAATAACAAAGTATGTGCAAGGGTAAAAAATACTATTATAACCACATTAATGTTCATAATATTAATCTCCAACAGACAAAGGGTCAAAACACATGTTTAACAAAAAAATGTGCAATTCTTTATTTTGGGGTAAAACAGATGAGTGTGATTAGTTAAAGGAGGTTTTATTGCATTAGGATTTTTAAAATGTTCGCTGTTAGCTGTAGATTTTATAATAAATATAACAAAAATTATTTTTAATAATAAATACATTTATGTAATAGTAATTGTCGCCTGGGACTCTGTCCGTGCGGATTTAAAAAAAACTTAAAAAGTAGCCTATGTGTTCTTCCAGACTATGCTGTACATCTGTGCCAAACTTCATAAAGAACCGGTTCTGATGTGCCTTCAAACAAACATCCATCCATCTAAACTTTTGCAATTATAATATTAGTAAGAATATAATATTCTTGTATAAAGTTATGAATGAAAATTTTGACTTGCATTTATTTGATATTTAAACAGTGGTAGAGCCCGCTTTAACATCTTCGCACGAATCGGCCCGGCTCGCCCGGTGAAATACCACGACCACACAGAAGACAGGCGTGAAGTGGAAGCAATTCCGCGTTTCGTCTGATGAGTGTGCGTCCCGGAGGCCAAAATTAGTCCTCTTTTCCTTCCCAACCTTTTTCTTATAAGGAAAGGATGGGAAGTGGTAGTGGACTTTCCGGATTAGAGGATGCATGGAAAGGGAAAATATTTTCATTCTGTGCATCCTCTCCTCCGTCGATTAAAGGTAGGCAACGCATATGCAATTGCGTATGTCTATGGGCAACGGTCACTTCGCTATTTCAGCGATTTCAGGTGGCCGCTCGCTCGTTTGCCACCTTGTGATATAAAAAAAAAAAAAATTGCATTTATAAAACTAATGAGATCAGCTGTGCTATCATCTGTGTTTATTATACACAATTTTTTTTATTTAGGTTATTGCTGTACACTGTCAATACATCTACAACTCTAATTATATCTTACTTATATTATAAATGGAAATGTTTGGATCGGAAGATATTCTTGTTATTTTTGTATTCAAGCATACTCAATTAAATTAATTTGTTTCTTCCCTGTGGCTGATTGACGTATCAAGAGTTCCGATTTGACAGGCTTTCAAATAGGTCAAGGCTGATTCCGAAGTTTTCGTGAAAATTAGCTGTTATTGTTTTACGTCTCACTTATATGTATGATGTTAAAGAGGGACAAAGCACAACTGGTCAAAGAGGAAGCGCGAAAGGACACGTAAAGCTAGCCGGCGGAGCGGGGCCGAGACTTTCCGATGGTCACTTTCACTCCGATAGCGCCAACTCCTGACCACTTTCGCCCGACCTACGATTAAGTTTACGACTTCAAATACTGTGATACTTTGTTACTAATAATAAAATTAGAGCTTTGAAGTGTTTTAAATTAGCTGTCGCCCGCGACTCCGTCTATGCGAGATCTTCCAGTATATGTTATACGAGTACATCTATACCAAATTTTAGCGACATCCATGCAGCAGTTCTGGACATACCTTGTAACAAACATCCATTCATCTATCTAAATATTCGCATCTTACTTCCTTCAGATGTAGAACATAGTCTTTGCGAACATATAAGCTACTTATTACATTTTGTTTTTAATACCGCGCGGACGGAGACGCGGGCGACAGCTAGTTTATAGTAGTGAAGTTAATGTGATCAAAGCCATAAACATATCGAAAGTTATTCGCACATCTTCTAGTTGCATACTCAGTTTGAAACGGAAAATGATTGGAACATTTTAAGATTTAATCAGTTATATATATATATATAATAGTTTAACAGTGGTAGAGCCCGCTTTAACATCTTCGCACGAATTGGCCGCTCGCTCGTTTGCCACCTTATAATATAAAAAAAAATTGTTTACATAATCATGTTAGGTCTATGCTATTAACCGAAGCTGTTCTGCGTTATTATGACAGGTAGAGAACAACAAACATTGCGTTTATTCAATTTATATTTAACTACGCTCGACCTTTATCACTGCGACGTTCGCCAACTTAGGCACCGTGTCGATTAACAGCTGATACGCGACTTGTTTCTTCGCCAAAACGTCCTGTAAAATAAGATTTTGTCTATAATAGTCTGTTAAATATATAATTACCAGTTGTCGGCCGCGACTCCTTTCGCTTGGAATTAAAAGCAACTTAACTAGGAGCCTATATGTTCTTCCAGACTATGTTCAAATTTCATCGAGATCCGTTGAGCCGTTCAGAAACCTTCTTATAAACATCTATCCATGTAAATTTTCGCATTTATAATATTAGTAAGATGTAATATAGTCGTAGTATAGTAGTTGCTGTAGGTTATTTTCATAGGAAAATGCAGTTGTTTCCTCTGATTAGTGGATTAGTAATACTTTTTTGTGGCGTATAACGCCTTTCTCACGGATATAGTGAAATTAATAACATAGAATTCAAAATACAATCAAATTATTTTGTATTTCAGTAAAGCTTTCTTTAATCAAAAATATTACCAAAAAATCTTATAATTGTAAATGAGCAATTCTTGTATATATATATATAATTGGAATCTCGGAATCGGCTCCAATGATTTTCATAAAATTTAGTATATACGTGGTTTCGGGGGCGATAAATCGATCTAGCTAGGAATCATTTTTAGAAAATGTCATTTTATTCGTGTTTTATCGATAATCAACTTGAACATAAACTTAACTTTTTCTATCGGTAAGATCGATATTATTATTCATATTTCATCATTTTATTAGTAATTCGTACTTAAATATAATTTCCAAACAACACAATTTAAAAAATACCGAGCAAAGCTCGGTCATCCAGGTACTACTACGTAAGAAAAATCTATTGACTAAACATAAAATCAATGTCATAATTTAAATGTAAATAAAGATTAAAAAATGTAGATAGATAAATCAATAGATGTAATTATAATTGATAATACGTGATTTATGATGTTTTTATAAACAGGTATGTAGATTTTAAATCAACAGCGGTATAGTCAAACCAGGATAATAACGTACTATACATTAAGTCGTTGTAATTGGTAAGCGATGAAACGTATGATTTTAAATAGTAATGTTATAGGAAAATTCTTTGTTTAAACGCGCTAATCTAGGAACTACTGGTCCGATTTGAATTTTTTTTTGTTGGATAGTCCATTTGTAGAGGACCGCTTTTGGTTATATAATACTATCAGTCGCCCGCGACTCCGTCCGGACGGGATTAAAAATAGATGTTGGCCGATTTTCAGACCTACTCAATATGCTCATAAAATTTAATGAGAATCGGTCAAGCCGTTTCGGAGGAGTATGGGAACGAAAATTGTGACACGAGAATATTATATATCAGACTAGCTGTCGCCCGCGACTCCGTCCACGCAGGAATAAAAATAGATGTTGGCCGATTCTCAGACCTCAATATGCTCACAAAATTTCATGAGAATCTGTCA